TTGAGCGCAGTGAATATTTTTTATTGCAGGTGTTAACGCATGGAAAACATTTGAAATAGAGGTTGTTATGGATTCTATCAAGCAGTTTATTTTTTACTGAGGCTTCTGATTTTTATAGACCTTTTAATTTACGGTTCTGGTGGCTAGAATTTTTTTACATTTTGAGCTAAAAATATTTATGAAAAATTGGGAGCTTTTAGCGAGATAGACCTTTTGCTTGACTGTCCTCACCGACTACGAAAATTAATGCAATTTCTTTCAATAGTTGCAAATGCTCTAGAAAGCCTAGATCTTGCTGTAAAATATAGATATTATTTTATTTTGCTACACGAGTCCGGTTGTTTTCCGATTTGAAGTGAGAAAAAGATTTGCTAGGATGGGAGGTTACTAAAGTTGCTGTAGAATCTGGCGTCGTCCAGGATATAGTGGTGGCTTTTTTTGTTAGGGGATTTATTGTTTTTAAGCAAAAAGTTTTGATGTCACAAAATGGTGGTGTTTTTGCTTCTTGGGAACTGGACTACTTTAGATATCTAATTATTTTTTTTTTTTTTTGAGACTGCCTGTTATACGTCAACCGCCTAACTACGCGTAAACTGTAAAAACATTTAAAATTGCTAGCTTGAATTACTCTAAAGAATTTTGACGTACTAATTTAGAAACAGTTGTTGTCAGAATTGGTAGGAACACTTTATGGCGTGGATAATCAAGCAAAAGTATTCTAGAAACAATGGTTTTGATGCTGTGGGTCAAGTAGCTTTTTATGTTGTATAATGTTTGGACAAGGGAAGACGGAAATGTAGTTATTGTTTTGATGTTTTGAGCGGAAGAGGCGAGATGTGGCAAAACGGCAATGAACTGTTTAACTTAACAAGTGGAGGAATTTAATGACTAAATAATGTTCGTAACCAAACTTTAAGTAACTTAAGCTTACCTGTTAGGTATTAGAGGTTATTTTCGTAGTGTAGAGCGTGACATAAATTTAGTCATCTGTATCCGAATAGTTTTTAATTTTCTTTCAGGAAGTTAGCTCTTGACAATGAGTGGCTCAGCGGTCAAAATCGCTCCTTCTTTAAATGGGATTGAAAAAGGGTACGTGATTTTGAAATTGTTTTTGTAATTGAGTCTTCTTTCTGCATTTTTTTCTGTCGTTTTGGTTCTTACTTTTCTATAATAGTTTCCCTTACTCTTCAGTTGTAGTACCTATTCTTCTAAATTTTTTAACGGAAGCTAAAGCAGAGTACTGGGAAACGGTGGTTTGAGGGCCAGTCTTTCGGAAGATAGGGGAGTGGATGAGAGAGCTAGAAGGTTTGAAGGATGTCTAAGTCAAGTTTTTATAGACGTGTACCAGTACTAACATAAAAATTCTTTTGCACTGTATGATCGACTCTGGCGCAAAACCCTTCTTAAAATGAAGTTCCAGGACTTAGTTGAACTCTGGTCTTCAGAGGGGCATTGCTCTATTGTTTTTGCGTAGATACATTATAGCCACTTTATGGAAAAAACAATTCTTCTTAATTTTTGAATAGAAAAGACGTTTTTTGAAACTAGCGGAGTGGGCTTTTTTGAGAGACATTTTGGAACATAAATTGGTGCTGTAACGAATGCGAAAGGAGTTATAAAAAAAGACGCAAAGTGTGATTTTATGTCTCCACTTGTCGTTGAATGGGAAAAAGATTGAAGGAATTGTTTCAGCATGTATAGAGATCACTTTTTTTTTGTTCTAGGACCTTTGTTTACCTGACAATTAAAGATCGGTGGCCTAAAATATTAACGCAAGTTGTCGATCAAGTTCATCGATTTCACGTCACACATGTTGCTGTTTACGCAGAGGTAATTTTATAAATAAATTTAGTTATTTTATCACGAGCAGTTGAAAAAACTTTATAAATTTTCATAAAAGAAATACTCCACTCTGTAATTTAAGTTAGGAAAGCCATTTATTTCTGGAATGCACAATATTTATAATAAATTTATTGAAAAACTTTAAATTTTGTTCAAAGCTTGAAATATTCGCTTTGACATATAATTTCTTCATATTTTTGGTCTTTTTTTTTCTAATGCGTTTTTTGCATTATACTTTTTAAAAAGATATTTTTGATTTTGGATAAGATATTGTAGTTTGGACGTTTTTTCAGATATACCTGTTGAAAGTTTAGTTCTTTAGAATTTGGGTTTGAAATTTTTAAGAGTACTTCAATGAAAGCTAAAGCAGAAGAAAATAGCAAAACTAAAAACAACGAGACAACAACAACCTTCAGTTTACTATGCAGCTGTTTATGTAATTAACAGTTATCTGCTAGTATGACCTTACATTTTTAATTGTATAACGAGAAACTTGTATTTACTTTCTCATTTTTTTGTTCTTAAATACTCATTTTATATGATTTCTTTGTATAGTAAACTAAGCTGCAGCAAACTTTTCTCCACTGTTTAATGAATTAACAGTTTTTCAAAGAAACTTTAATTTCTTTTTATTTCAAACAGTACGGCCTTGCTTGCCTTTTTAAAGTCTGGTTAAAATCTTTTGAAATTTTGCCGCTATTTGCTTTCAATGTTTCTATGCAATTCTCTTCGCAACTTTCAAATTCTGGCTGTTTAAAATTTTAGTAAACGACTATTCAAAATTCTTTTCTTTTTTTGCTTTCTGCTGTTAACGATCTAAATTTTCTGTGAGGCTGTAGCTGACGGTTTCTGAAATTGCTAAACTTGTAAAGTTGTCATTGCAACTACGTATTTTGAAGATAATTAGAGATATCTATCAAATACGTTATACTACTGTATTTTAATTTTAAAGGAGACGTGCATTATTTTGGTTTGGTTTGCAGGAAAAACTTTTTTTATTGAATAGAAAAGTAATAAATAAAATGCTTTTTGATTTAAAGGATCTTGTTTTTTTTCGTTTGTTTATAGCAAATACTATAACTTTGCTTTGATAACAAAGTAAAATCTTTTTCGCAAAACTGGTAGTAAAGTATGCACCGATTATGGAAGTAAATTTTCACACGGAATTAACAACTGGTCTAGAGCAATTAAAAGTCTGTAAGTAACGAGATATTCGAGAAGGTGAATGAACGTCGTGCATTTCAAAGAGATTAACTGAAAAACTTTTTGCTTATACTTTCTCATACTTCCTCACTAGTTTGTTAGTAATTTTCAGTTTTATCGATTTTATCTTTATCAGTTAAAAATTATCTGAGGAACAATGCATCTTATACCATAAACTTTTTTGAACGATGTTGTAAATATTTTTTATATTTAGGATTGCAAGCAGAGCCTGTTGATAAGTTTAAAAGCATAGGGTTTAAGAGGACATACGCATTTAGCTTGAATAAAATGCGAAGGACTGCCACATTTTATTATATAACATTTGGCTTTGCGAAAGTAACTTTATAAAACTTTAGCAAATTTCAGTGCTTTTGGCTTTCGCATCGATTTATAAAATTACATCAATTTAATGGCATTTATAGAGAAAGTTAGTTGGCGCATCAAAAACAAATTTTTAAAGAAATTATTATAGAAAAAAAATGTTAATTTTTTTCAAGGGTTTTTTCTGAAATAAAAATTTAATTTATTAAAGTGAAATTATAGTCGAAAAGGTTAACTTATTAAAGCGGAATTGAAACTGCAGAAATTTTATAATGCTATTGTAAAAGAAAATATGAGTAACACTTTTACATCGGCTAGTAAAACATTAAAAATAATGCGTGAGATTAAGTTGTTCAAAGACACTAAAATATATAAACTTTATAGTGTTACCTCACTTCTGGGCCTGTAACTTCTTATGTGTCTTATATCTTTGATGAATACTCCTTTATATAAATTTACTGTTTTTAGGAGCAACTGTTTAAGTTTTTGTTTTTCCTGCGGGGATCTGCCTTTTATACTTGCTATAATTTATGAGAGTGTGTGTAAAAGTATCGGGCAGTGGGCTAATGAAAAAGTTGAAAAATGGCTCAGGCTTAACGGAGACACTGCTTTTGGAGAGAGGAGTAAAGGACAAAAATTTACTCTGTTGTCGCTTTTCTGTGGTTTTATTTTTTGGAGGACACACTTCTAAAACAAAAAATTGGGTATTTGGAATAGATGCAGTGAGATGAACGTGAGGTTTTCTGTATCTATATCCCTCTTATTTCAAAAAATTACTGTTCAAATGTCTTTTTTGACCATACGGATTTCCAAAAGAGAAAGGAGAGAGCTCTGGTTGCGGGATAGTTTGGTGGGTGTGCTTTTGTTTAGCAGGTGTAGCTTCAAAAATCTGAATGGCCGAAATTCTTTCATACGAATTTTCTACCGCTTGTAAGTTGAATGTTTTCTGGCTATCTGCTAAAATAAAAAATATATATTATATAGCTGCGTATAAGAATTAGTGATAGTGATATACACATTATAAGATGATTGAAAACTTCTGTAATGTGGTGCCAGAATGATTATTTTTATTTGCTTCTTTTGAAACTTTATACTGCTCTTAATATGCTTGAGTTTACGTTTTCTTATTTACACTTAAATCTATCAAGTGGTTCGAATCACGGGAAAGTGCATTCGGTTGTCGTGAAAACTTGTTTTGGACATAAAATTTTAAAACTCTGTGATATAGTTTTATTTGTCAAAATGGTTTCTTGAAGTGACAGCTGAAGTGCTTATGAAATGACAAAAAAATTTAGGAAGAAAGTTTCATTTGCAGTTGAACTTTAAAACTTTTAGCCACGAAGCTGACACATTTACGGAACTGTATGTTGGTGGTAGGCACTGAGGTCTGCAGAACTGTGAAAAAGAGGCAGTTTTAGCATTAGAATTTCAGAGCCTGCCAATAATTTTGCATAAAGCTGAAACAAATGAATCGAGTTCAAAAGAGAAGCTCCTATAAAAATAAAGTGACATGAAAAAGAAGATTCTTTTTGGGGTAAGACAGACTGCCCGCTTTAAACTGCAGTAACACCACTAATTAATTTTAGACTGACTTTGGATTTCACTCATTTAATTACTGAGTATTATTATCTGCCACTAATTTATTTTCTTTGCTGAAGGAGGGCGACAAAGACATCAAATCAGTTATCCGCGAACTATCTGAAATGAAATATGAAATGCAAACCGATAAACCACTTCGGGATCTAAATGATCAAGGTGAAAATCATGACATGTGGAATACTGAACTGGATAGTATGCGAAAAAAGGTTATCTTTTTATTACTGTATTACGGAATTTGTGGTAATAGTAAACGTTTTATCTTGTGAATTAATCTGCGAACAGTGTAACTAGAGAAAATTTTTAGAAAAATGTATGTGTTCTTTTGTAGGTAGGTGGGAAGGAGGTAACGTGGTACAAAGCAGCTTGGCTTTTTGTCGAATGTTATTTATATAGAAGAATAGCTGGATCGTTTGTCAAAACATCTACTTTAACTCGCTTTGATCCATTTACAACTCAAAAGCAAAATGCTTTTGTCGAAAAGTGTCTTAACTTTATTCTAAGTTTACAGTTTTTCTACTAATCTTTTGTCTGCAAATTAGTTCCTGTATTCCAAAACTGTTAGAATATTTGCACTTATTTAGGGGAAATAGCTCTATAAAATTTCTGATTAAGAATTTTTTTGCAGTTTGTCAAATATAGAAACGTTGGCGAAATGTTTGCCGAGTGTTGTTGGAGGTTGTTCGTCGAGTGACGCTGAAGCAGATGCAGTTTCGCGAATGATTCAAGTTTGTTCATACATGCTTTCTTTACTTTTACGCGTTTATTTATTGCTCAGTGATACAAAAACTACATTTAGATCACTTTGTGGGGAAACAAGTGTGATCTCTCGCTTAGTGGCGGGACCAGCGTAGGTCGTTTGGGATCGCCTCTGGAGTTGGTCGATCAACTTGTTGCAAAAATTCTTGTAAATGACATTGACGAGGCTGTGAAACTGATAAAGTGAGTTTGACTGTTTAGTGAACTTGACACGTTTGATATTAAAATTTGTCTTTCTTGCTTTGTTTTTACTTAAAGATTTTTTTATTTGACCTTTGTTTTCGGAAATGAGAATTTGCTGTTGTATTATGATAACTTTTACATGAAGTTATGACTTACTGTTCCACCAACTTTTTTTTCTAGAGTTACTGTGCTTTTTTCTCCACCTGTTTTTATCTTTTATAATATTTTACTAACTTGTATAGTTACTTTGTTTTGTTGGAGGTTTTCTGTATAGAAATAATTTAACATTACTTATTTAGTGCTGCTGATCCAAGAAGAATTGACATTGCGCTTGATAATGCTGGTCTTGAGCTTTTTGAAGATCTCCTGTTTGGAGATTTTTTAATTCAGAGTAAGAAAGTGGATAAAGTGATCTTTCACGGGAAGGCAAGTATCTCTTATTTTTGGTTGAGGTGTTTCAGTAATTATTAATCTCTGCCTACTAATCAGTTTCATCTTAGATAATAATTGAATTTAATGTCACTTAAATGTCACTGAAAACGAATGATATGACAGGAGAATTATTTTGCTTAAATTTAGTCCATTCCTTGGTTTGTTTCCGATGTTACTAATAACGACTTTTTCTGGTTGACGGAGATGCTTCTTCAAAGCCATTGCGAAGAGGTGAAAAGTCTCTGCCTGCGTTGGAAAGAACATTTGGAAGCTGTGAGTTGTTCAGAAACGTTTTGTTTCAAAGAACAGTGAAGTGTTAATTACCGTCTTTTTCTTTTTTTTAACAGGTAATTATTACTTTAACAATTAAATCAATTTTTTAGCCGATGTATCATTTTTTATTAACATTTGTTTAAAAAGTGTGTAGAAATATTACCTTAGAAAGTTGCGACGTAATAGTAAGCGGGATAAGGTAGTGAAAGTCATATGTATTTAAATGAGACTGCTACGTTTAGTAGCAGAATAATTATCAATTAAAGGTTCTTTAATAATCCGAACTTTTGAGTTTTTGTACTAGTACCTCTGTTGTTGAAGTCGCAAGGAAGTCGATATATGTGGTATATACAATTTTGATCAAAACGCCTTGGTCACTAATCATTAGAGCAGTACACCGTTAAGGTGCAAGTTAGAGATTTAGAGCTTATTTGAGCTCTAAGCTTCACTCAATACAAATAAAAGAAAGAAATAATGGTTTCTTTTCTTGGCAGTTCCCAAGGGCCATTTTCTGTTTTATGAGTTCTTAGGTTCCGTTCTTCAAACAAATCACTCTATATAAGGCCGTAGCATTTCGTAAAAAGTCTTTAGATGTGACTTTGTCAATTTTTTCCGAGTTATTTTTTTATATCTTTCAGACTGTGCTAGTTGAGATTCATATCTTTGCAAAGCAATTCGCTATTAAATCCTATGGAGGGGAAGGGAAGGTGAAGAAGGTGAAGGTTTTTCGAAAAGGAGAGGTCGTTTGGGAGGACGGATTCAAATTGGTGTTGGATTTTGAGAACAGCAGTACTAGTATAGTGACATTAGAGTTCTTTATGCAGCACAGGAGAGAATTCTTTTAAAATTTGTGCAATTCCGGTGGTTTTGAAGACAACTTTAACTGTGCTGCTCTTCATAACTCTCTTTTGAAACGTTAATAGACTTCTTTTTTTGCTACATTATTATGATATTATGAGCCAAAAGTTTAGAGGGAGGAAAATTAGGCTTAACTTTGCGGAGGCAAATGGTTTATCTTACCCAACACACGAATCATTCAGAGCATTAGTGTGGAAGTACCAGAATGCAATTAACAAATTGAGGAATCAAAACTTAAAGTTCAGCATTCAGATCGAAACGACACAGAGTATGAACATAATGCGTACTTGCTTTGAGTCGACCAAATTTTAGTTTTTAAAACGATAGATGAAGCATAATCAAATCAGTTTATAAAATGCGTACTCAAAACAGGTTCTAATGCAAAGGACAAACATCAGAACGATGGACACTTTGATAGCAACGAATTTTTATAGTACCCCAAAACTTCTCGATGACGAATTTTGTTCAGACTGATTGAACCGCTGTATCTGTGAGATTTACTTGTTCAATCTTTTAGTTATTGACAGTGAGAAACAGGATGTGATGAAGAGGAACGAAGTTAACAATTTGAGAAAAAGCTGCTTGATGACAAGTTTGAAAATACAAAGGTAAAGAAGTGATATTTCCTGGAAAGCCCGCGACTTAAGAAAGGTTTTTTGCATTACCAATGGAGGATCTTCAGAAAGTATGATTAGTTTTTGGAACCAACTTTTCTTAAGATAAAAAGTAAAGTTTTCAGAAATCTCGCAACATTTGTTATCATAATAACTTTCATGATTACAACTCTACATAAGGGCTAAAAAACCCGTTATATTTATTTCTGAGGTTGTCAGGAGAACAGTAGAAATTTCTTAGTAGTTTTATACTTCAATTCCTCAAACTGTCTTTTTACTAGTGCAAATTCAATACCGGAAGGTTTATTACGTGAAATAGGCAGATCAAAAATATTTTGTATTTTTTGTTTTCCGGTTGCTCACGAAGTCATATGACGCCATGTTTATCTTTTTTCTCCTGGCATTGTTGCAGATAATCTTCGGTTGACGTACTCCAGTAACATAGGTTTTTTCCCGTTCTAAACCCTTGCACAATGCAGACTTCTTGTGGGTCTCAAGGAAAAAAAAGACCTATGATATATATTATTGTTTGGATGTAGGGAAAAAAAATTTAGTCGATAAAATGGTAGCGTATGTAACGTGCGGAGCTTTCTTTCAGTTTCAGAAGGCATAAGGTTAATAGTAAATTGGGAAGCAGTGTATCAGGCTCCGTATTATGTGCTGCAACTATCAGAGTTATGAAAGAAGAAAAGTTGATGCGGCTTGAAGTAAGAACAGAGATAAAGCGGCAGACAATGCATTTAATTTACAGGAGAGGAACCAATAAGTAAGAGGTTGATTCTAAGCTCTCAGAACGTTTGACAGATTTTGACGAGCAATTTTCTCTGGATTTTTTAGGTGTATATCGTAGGAACTCCTGGATTTTGGGTCTATCGGCTTGAGGTTTGTATATCAGCAGGGGAGAAGTTCGCACTTTTTAGGAAAAAAATGGTTTTGAGCGATTTCAAAGGCTTAGCAAGAGCTGTTTAGTAATATTTCAAATGGACTTTATGTTGATGCTGTGCAAACCGTAGATGACAAAGATGAAAGTTACTTCTTGTTTTGAAGTCTTATTTGACCTTTCAGGGATTTATGAAGTTAGCAGTTAGGGCTGCTGTTGGTTAAGTTGCTATAATCGCTAGCAGCTACTGTAGCTCTGTTTTTTTTTTTTTTT